ATCCATCTCTTCAGCCCTAGCTCCGGGCATAGGACCTCGCACATGATAGGCCTTCTTGGGTAAGAAATGAATTAATTCACTATTTACTAGTAACTGTTCAGGACTTAGACTTGCTTCTTAAAGGAGAAGTAGAAGAAAGAACGATTCAAAGAAAATCACTTAAGTGAACTTGTAGGCACGTTAGTGGAAGGCAATAGATTCTTTTGTCAAGCGGTCATACCCTTGTCTCCACCACCATTTTTCTGGAACTCTGGTTGTTTTGGAGTCAGTTCTTTTCCCCCATGATATTGACTTTCTTTATTATGTTACCGGTTTAACTATTGTTGGACATTTTCAATCAGGAGTTAGCAAATTACAGCCCATGGGCTAAATCTGGCCCACTGCCTGTTTTTGTTAATAAAGTTTTATTGGCACATACCACACACATTTGTTTACGTGTTTTCTATGGCTGTTTTGTGCTACCTTGACTGAGTTGAGTAGTTACGATAGAGACCTTATGTGCACTACTTGCTCCCCTTTATAAGAAAAGCTTACTGACCGCTGTTTTAGATGATAAATTGCTGTCAGCCCATAGTGCTCAGTTATGCAGCGACTGTCTGACATAAAGCAGTGTGTTGAAGAGGGGGTGCATGCATAAAGGGTTTGAGAGGCCTGGGTCCCGCGCTTACCAGCTGAGGAACCTCCGGCAAATCGTGGAGGTCCTTTGAGACGCCTTTTTAGTCTATAAAATGGGCACTGAAAACAGTGCCTACCTCCCAGGTTGAGCTCCCAGGTGATTTTGTGCACTACTGGACATTGTTGCCATTCTTTTTCTCAGGAGGAGGAAGCCAAGAAGCTGGTGAGTGAAGCCATTGCAGCTGGCATTTTCAATGACTTGGGGTCTGGAAGTAACATTGACCTGTGTGTCATCAGCAAGAGCAAGCTGGATTTTCTCCGCCCGTTCTCAGTGCCCAACAAGAAGGGGACCAGGTGAGTGGAGGAGATGCCATCCTTTCTGAGTTCTCCGACTTCCGGGGCCACCCTCGACCTGTCCATGGCATCTGGACAGGGCTTTCTTGATTCTTACCCATGTTAAGTAAATCCAGTGTCCCCAATCCAGCCTTACACAGCAGACCTTTGAGTCGTTATTTGCTTTGTGATTCTGGGTTGCTATCGGGTGTAGAAAAGTGATTTACTTTGTAAAATGTTGAGAAGAGAGGTAGAATGGGGCCCAGGCTGGGGGCTGTGGAGGGAGGTTTGAATCACCTGCTGTGCTTTCTCTGGTCTCTTCAAGAATCCCCTGGATTCTGGATGAGACTCTGTGAGGAGCATTTTTCAGGGTAGCCTGCCCGTAGCTTTTCTCAGCACTCTGAGGTCCTGTGCAGTTATAAACCACTGGTTAAGAGTCCCTGAAAGTTGGCCTTGGGAGCTAACGGGGGCTTCCGGCTCGCGAGGGAGCCATGCCATTTGGCCCGTGGCATGTGCTGAGCAGCAGGCGCCGCTTCTCAGTGGTGCAGGCCCGGCTCGGGGTTGTGTTGGACAGGACTGGGGCCCTCACTTGTGGTCCTGCATAGTTGGCTGGCTGCTTGACCAGCCTGTGGCTCCTGACCTCCTCCTGGAGCCGGAGCAGCTCGACGTGTGGCTCCCTGAGTTCTGCCTCCAGCTGCACTCACCTGAGGATAACTGGCACCGCGCCTTCGGCAATGCTGGCTTTATCTCCCAGTGCGTATGCTCGACGTCCAAGTCGGGTCACTCACAAGGGAAGGGTAGAGCGTTGAGGACCAGCAGGTACTCACTGCGGCGTGCGCTCGGCATTGTGGAAACTCTGTTCTTGAGTTGGGCAGCACAGCAGCCCAGGGCTTAGGAAATGGCATTGCCTGGCCTGGTGGCTTTGGGCAGGTCAGCCTCCCTGTCTGAACTGATGGAGCTCGACTAGGTGATCTCTGACGTCCCCATGGAGTCCCTGGGGTCTTTAGCAGGAAGGGAAGCCGTCTTTGAGACCTGGGGCTGTGTTGGATGCAGGCTTTACCGAGCTCTCTGAAGTGGGAGCCTTGTATCCCTGTATGACTCGCTTCCCTGTTATTGGCAAGGTGCTGCATGACCTGAGCAAGGCCCTGGTGAGGTTCAGGAAGGGGGAGGTGGCTACACTCCATCCAGACCGAGCGGTGTGCTGGGAGGGTTCTGGACGCCACGGTGGAGCCACTGAGAAGTAGTGTTTGCGCCTGGACAAGGAGCCTGTGCAAAAGCAAACGCCGCAGCGGCACATCTCACTCCCTCGGGACATAGGCCACACGTCTGTAAAGGAGACTGAACGCATACGAACAGGAATAAAACGACCCTTTCGGCTGGTTGTGAAGATGCAGTGAGGTAGTGGGGAAGGTGCTGGGCACGCTGTGGCACGTGTCAGTGACCTGCCCTCTGGGCAGGGCTGCTCCCCCCCTGTGCCCAGGCCCTGCAGCGGGTGCCAGGTGCCAGCAGGCACTGCGGCAACAGTGCACACTGTAGAACCTCACTGTCATCTTTTCTGCCAGTGGCTGGCTGTGGAGGTAGTGCCTGGGTTAGGGGCACCTTTCCCAGAGTAGACAGTTGGTGGGGGCAGCATCCTGTGCCCAGGCCCAGTGTGGCCCTGGCCCTGCCCATGCCCACTGGCTCCTGTGCTTTCAGCCCCCGCTGCCCTGGTTTGCCACGCTGTTGCCTAAGGCAGAAGCCCTCCCTGCCTGCTGCTGAAACCGGGCCATCACCCAGGGTGGTGAGGCTCTGGCCAAGAGTCCAGCCTGGAGGAAGGAGCCATTGTCACACCGCGGGGGCGGGGCCCATCCTAAAAAGGTGCTGCTGCAAAGGAGAGGATGGGGAGGGGACAGGAAGGTGTAGCAGGTCAAGGCCTGCCGCTCTTGGCCGCGCAAGCTCTTGAATTTATATAGAGCTCGGTAACGTCGCCCTCTTCTGCTTCCTGCGTCTGAGCACAAGTGCCGTTTGAGAGGATGGGTTTTCGAGGAGCCATGTGTCACGACACAGCCAGCAGCCTTCTGTTCGTCCGTGCCAGGTTGACAGAAAGTGTCCCAGCCGGGGACAGACCAGAGGAACAGTTGGGTTTGTACTGCTGTTTGACGATAATGTAATTCCTGGCCCCAGCATGAGAACGAGCAGGTCGCATATGTATCTTCTAGACTGCCTGTGCCCAGAGAAAGCTGTCAGATTCACTCCCAGAAAGGTGCTGAGTAACGTGTCCTAATGGTGACCCACCACGTCCCTGCAGGGGACAGTTAACCCTCCTTTCTTGATTCTTGAGCGTGTGGTCTAAAATGACAAGCCCAGAGTCTGTCTCTGGGTCATTTTTATACTGTTTACGCTTCCAAATATTTTTTAAGTGTTTAAGGTAACAGTAGGTCAGTCTTGTTGCTACACAAGAGAAGGGCGGTGGCAGCTTAATGAAAGGATTCGCTTCCTGCTGGTTTCTGAAAGGGGCTTTCAGGAAGTTGTTAAAGCTTGAAGGCAAAGGACCAAATGCTTTCCAGCGTCTTCTGGGGGTGGGGAGGTGGGCAAGGTGCTCTGTAGGCTCTCTTGGCGTTTGCATCCTATCTCCCAGGTGTCTGTTCTGTAGCGCTTGAGAGCGAGCCTGGGGCATTTGAATCCCCCAAGGTCTCAGAGCTGGAACCAGGGGAGCCGGGATTCCAGTCCAGGCCTCTTTGCTGTCCCCCCTCACTGCTTGTCCCTCTCTCCAGCTCTCCACTGGGTCCCTTCGGGAGGATCGTAATTTTTTGCTATTATTGTTTTCTCACTAGGTTTGGCCGGTACAGATGTGAGAAAGGGACCACGGCAGTTCTCACTGAAAAAGTCACTGCCCTGGACATTGAGGTGCTGGAAGAAACAGTCCAGACGATGGACACTTCCTGAATGGTGTTCGCGGATGGCTGGTTGCTGCTCTAGAAGATGGGGGGCAATGGAGACCCCCCCTGTAAGACATTTATTCAGCCAGTGTTTGCTGAATGAAACCTAATAAAAAATGAAAACCAGATTGAGTGGCTGAGGTCGAGGCTGTGGGGTTTTTTTTGCCAGTAAGGCCCATCAGCCTTTAATTCCTCGTGTGCCAGTCTGTTCAGGTGGGAGTAGGGGTGATGCCGTCCTACAAACAGACGACACCTCGCCTGATGTAGGAGTCCGAGTAGGTTACTTGGATTCTCCAGTGAACATATTATATATACCCACCCCTTTGCCAACTTACATTCTCTGTGTAGGGTGGTCCCAGGTTTTTCTTTTTTTAATTTTTTATTTTTTTAGGATGAGTGCAGCATAGGTTTTCACCCCAGCAGCCAAGTAGGAAAGAAATAGTCAGACATGATCAGTTCTAAGCACTGAGAAAAAGCAGGTTGGTGGACAGTTTGCTTTGCCATAGCATGAAACTGGGTGAACTCCACTTTGGCAAGTTCACAGAAGTCAGAGGGCTGCTTTGGGGGTGACTGTTTGTAATAATTGGGATACAGTTATTTCACAAACACTCATGCTTGGTGAATGGTTGAAAGTGTACGCTTCCAGAGGGTCCTAGGAGGCAGAATTGTTCTCGTGACATGCAGAAAGCAGGTTCATCTGTGTCCAACACAGACTCTGCCAAGGGAGATGCAGTAGGGGCTCTAAGAACTCTTCAGCACAGTATTTGCAAAAAATTTGTCTGGAATCAGAAAAACTTTCGGTGGTTAAGTGCTAGGCGGGAGCAGGGCCTGACTCATCCTCCAGAGAGAGAGTGGCTGGGGGCGCGAGGAGGCCCCGCCCCAGGGCTTCCAGGGCAAGCCCACTCTTGGGCCAGCCTCCCTTGTGAAAACTGCCCGGAGTGGGGTAGGGAAAGCAGTAAAAATACTTAAGGGAGCAGCTTGGCTGATGACTGTCAAAATTATCTGGGAAGCGTGAAGAAATTTCGGGATTACTCAATGTCTGGAGCCAAAGAAATTGTGTTTTTAAAGGTGGCTGAAGAAATTGTGCTGCAGTGTGAAGCTGCTTTAAAATTATTCATGAATTGTACTCATTCACAAAAGTAACCCCCCTCACCCCGTTTTATTTCAAACATGGAGAACACGTACAAAGAAAAGGTTGCATCTGAAGAAAATCCCTCCAACCCGACAGAGTTACAGTAGAACAGAGTTCGTACATGGAAACAGGGCAGTGGCCTAGCCCGAGTCCTTTGTCCCCAGGGAGGCCCGGTCAGAGCCCCTGGACACAAATGGAGCAGGCAGGCGTGTGCTCTCTCTGGAGGGCTGAGCTGTCCCCAAGTTACTGGATGAAAAGTAGACCATTTGAGGATTAACTTGAGTATAAAGATAAAATTCAAACAATTTCCTTCAGAGCTTGAGTTTCCCTTAAGTTCACATTTATAAATTAGTCTTCACAGTTAATCCTATTTGGGAACAAGAAAAGGAAAACATTTCTGGTTTCCTACACATAAGGCACTTGTGCATTTAAATTCTTGACTTATGTGGGCCTGGACTCGAGTTTTGTGCCGGGATGAGGGAGTGGCTGCCATTTTTGAATCTTCTACAACGTGCTAGACAACTTGCATCTTTTATTTCAAATCCTGTCAGCACCCTGAAGGTAGGTGTCATTTTACAGACTAGGAAACTAAGGCTCAGAGAGGCTAAGAAACTTGCCCAGGGTTGTAGTAGGAAGTTGCCCACCAGAGCTTGTACAGAGAACAGCCTGAGGGCATGTTTTATAGTTTTGGTATGCCACACTGCCTTCCCACAGAGGACGATGCCTAACACTGATCGTGAAATGGACTGCCAGCATTTAAGCAGGTGACGAAGTGCCTGGTACAGAGCAGGCGTCCAGGAGGGTGGCTGGGCCGGACTGCATGGAAACACGCGTGCCTTTCGAATATACTCTCTGTCTTCTGATGCAGGGTTCTCCTCATTCATCGAGTTATAAACATAGATAAAAATATTGGGAAGATCTCCACTCTATTTAAAAAATATTATGCCCACTTTATCCCTTTACGACAGAGGAAATTAAGCACACAGCTTGATTGTTTGAAAAGATTCTAAGAGCTAAACTGAAAGGGCTGCTAGCCATTTTCAAAGGCTCACTACAAATCAGTCTCCTGCAATTCTGTTAGTATCAACCTTGACCAGTCATGGAAGGGATTATCCTCAAGATTCACATTACAGTCCAGATACAAGGGGTGCGGCACTGGCTCGCTGAACCACACCTCTGTTAACCCAGCGGAGTCCACAAGAGTTTAAAGAAAGGACTTTGAATGAGACCACCAGTAACTAGTGACCAGTGCCCCTCCCCCAGCCGCTCTGCACTCAGCATCTGTAAACCCCGCCCCTCTCTGGGGAACCTGTGGAAGCCTCTCTCATCTTAGTTGATCTCTCGTCCTAGTTGATCTAGGCTACCAGGTGGCCACTTTGGAGAGAAGACTCAAGGCAGAGCGGTGCTGGCTCTGATAAGGCACGCCACGTCCAAGTTCAGGTGCTCGAAGTCCACACGTGCATCTGTTTGGCAACCTGGTGCACATATCCGATGTCGGGTCTCTGGTTGGGGTCGGGGTAGATGCACATACTGACCAGTTCTCGTAACTGCAAGGGAGAGGACAGCATGTTAGCCTTAGGTTCTGGGGTAGCAGTTTGCACTGACTCATGTAGCACTCAGGGCAACGAGAAAGTGAGGGGTGAGGCTTAGGACAGGGGTGCGTGGCCACACAGCCACTGGGCAGAGCCAGGACCTGTCCCAGGCCTGTCTGGCCCCAAAGGCCATGCCATGCTTTGAGAACCTGGCAGTGGTGACCTCCAAATAATTTTGAACTTTCAACTGCTAGGCAAAGTGAGTGTGTGTGTGTGTGTGTGTGTGTGTGCGCGCCGTCAGTCATACAGCTGCCCAAGCCAGAGGACAAAACTCAAGGCAAGGGCTTATTGATCATAATAAATGCATTAACATGCAGCAGGGCTGCAGCCTGCCCACCCCCTGGCCTCTTTATTGTGCTCATGAAAGACGGAGCTTTTAATTACACAGACACTGAAGGCTGCGCCTGCCTGGGGTGGGGGAGGGGTGCCTTGAGCCTCTGATGCCTCCCCTCTTCTGATAGCCAGAGTGCCAATTATTTTAATGGTAATTAAAATAATGACCTTAAAGAGCCTACATCTTAACTTGCATCACTGGGCTCACTACATTTTTTTAATTTAAGTACCTGCTGCTGCTGGAGGGGCTGGCTGGCCCTGCGGGGGTCGGGGTCGGGGGCAGCAGCCAGTAGAGGGCTGGTCCTGAACAAGGGGGCTCCTGTGGAGTCAGTGGCCATGCCCAGGGAGTCTGGGGAGGGCGGAAGGGTCATGCGGAGGCCCTGGAGCTGCTGTACACACGCCACGGGTTGCTCCTGAGGTGTTCCAGGCCACAAACAAGGTTCCTCTGGGTCAGGCATTCTGAGTATCCCTCCAACCTGTGCGCTGCCCTTCTGGAACTCCAAGGCTTTATAAACACTGGGAAGCCCCTGGACCGATACAGCTGAGTCTGCAGCCAGCTTGGACGCTCCTGGAGACAGGCTGCCCAGCGTGAGATGATGCTTTTTAGAACCCTACAGTACTGAGGGAAGGCAGCTGTGGTTGGCCTCTGACAGGTGAAGTCTGTGTGACCCCAATTGTCATTTGTGAGTAGACCACGTAGTTTGCAGTAAGTGCTGGTTTGAAAATTTTGGAAGTCAAGGGAAACAAAAATAATAAAGGGTCTTATTTCCGTTTTTAAGAGGTGACAGAGGGGCTCGAGTGCTAAGGAGCCCCGGTTGCTCCCAGACACACAGCCTAGAAATGGTGCACATAACTGGAAGCCGGGGGCTCCAGGGAGCAGCAGTTCATGAAGGTGGAGTGACCAACTCGGGAGAGAAGGGGGCTGAGGGCTTTATGCGAGTTCATTCGTTTCAGCTTCATATCTGTGAGGCAGAGAGTACGGTTCTTTTATAGGTGGCAAACTGAGGCACAAACGTTACCATTTGCTCCGAGTTGCATGGCTCCAAGCTCCTGAATAGTACAGAATTCCAAGTTTAAACAAAAGGCGAGAAAAGAAAAACCAAATGCAGCTATTGGAAAAGAAATCTAACTAGTTCGTTCTTTCCTGCCAACTTCCGCTCCAGAGCATAAGTCCTTCCTCCAAAAGTATGTGGAAGACCTCGAAGCCACTGACACAAAAGCCGTGAGCGGGCACACACAGTCCTGCTGGCGGGGCTCCTGGTGTCCGTGAGAGCTCTTCAGTCAAGTTAATCAGGCTGGCCCTGCGGGGGTCGGGGTCGTGGTCAGCAGTGGCAGCCAGTAGGCGGCTGGTCCTGAACACGGGGCTCACATGAAGTCAGTGGCCATGCCCACTGCAGGAGCATGTGCTCCTGGCCCGCCCCCTCTGCCCCTGGGGTCTGAAGCCAATGAGAGTCTCATTAAGTACAAAGGCTGCCAGGAGAAGGTTGGTGGGTGACCCTTCTGGTCATCCCGCCTGGACACAGGGTTAGAGCACACTAGGAGGCCTGGTCTCTGTGGGTTGGCCTGCCCAGACCCAGGCCCCTGGAGGACAAGGGCTGCTCCTTCCAGAGCCTTCCAGCCTTTACGATTGGAATTGCCAGAAGCTGCACAGACCCCACCCCAGCTGGACAACTGGGTGCTGAAGAGGTGTGCCATCAAGAGAGGATGGCACAGTGGTGAGGCACAGGGCCATCTGGGTTCATATCCCACCATTTGCAAGTTATGTGCCCTTGGGCAGGTGACTTAACCCATCTGTGCCTCAGTTTCCTCATTGGCAACATGGGGCGGGGGAGGACTGAACACAGTAGGTCCTAAGTGTGAGAGATTATCGTGAGGCAATGGCCCGTGATTGGGCAGGGCAGGCCCAGGGAGGTCTCAGACCCCCCTTCACACCTAGTGTTGACCTTGGATGGCAATAACAATAGTCCACTAGCATTAGCCTCGAATAGAAATAACGTTAACCGTTGATGCTTATGGAAGGCCCTGTGCTGTGTCCAGCGGCTGCTTTTGGTGATAGTGGGGTAAATGCCAGCCTGGTCATGCGTCACCTGAATCCTTACACTGACCCTGTGAGCCAGGTTCGAGGATTATCCCCACTTTACAGATGAGGAAATAGAGAAGGTCAGTGACACCCCCCTCCCCCAGAAACAGTGAAGGGAGTGTGTAAACCTGTGCATCTGTGTACACACTCTGCCGTGCTGTGCTGTAAATCTGTCATGTCCTCACATTTTATCCACAAAGGCAAATAGCCCTGTTTTCAAGGTGATGGAACTGAGGCAGCTGACGTTCACACACGGTACCTGGCATAGCCCCATGCCAGACCTGCGGAGAGTCTGTCCAGAGCCCCTGCCCCTAGTGTCAATCGTTGAAAATAAAAAGGTGTGACTTGTCTGTGACAGCAAGGAGACTCGTCTGCTTGCCGTGGTTTCCTGTCATGGGAGCCAAGCGGCAGCCAGCAGCGGTGTGGGACAAGCCAGGGCCCTGCCATCCCCGGCCATTGCGTCTGGCTCCTGTTGTCTGGCACTGCGGGGAGCCCGTCTCACACTCGAGCCCCAGGGTGGCAGCCAAACAGGCAGAAGTGTGCGGACAGGGCCTCCTCAGCCGGCTGCAGCTGGCTTCTGTGCCCGTGGGCCGGCCACAGTCCTGAATTCGGGGCCCACGCTGGTGTCCGTGAAAGGTCTTCAGTAAAATTAATCTACTTTTCCCCCCCGCTGAGTCACTTTCCCAGAAATGTTCCTCCTCCACCCTGCTAAGTGAACCCAAGCTCAGCCCCACAGTTTTGGAACTGCCCCTCCTCACGAGGCTGGCTGGGGCTTGCCAGGTCTGCCCTGGCAGCAGGACTCACCTTCTCAGAGTAATGTTCTCCAGGGAGAGGCGGGTAGTCACACTGTTCGATCTTCTGGCAGAGGGAGAACAGGTTCATTTTATCTCCATAGAAGGGGCTTTGGAGAGCTGCCATCTGCAGGGGGAGGGGAGGGGGGGAGACATCAGTTTTTGGCCTGGAGGTCCAGGGGCAAAGACCACTCACTCCAGATTGGGGTGTGGCCCTTCTCCGGGCCTCACTACAGTAACCGTCCAGCAGGACGTCCCCCAAACCCCAAGGTAGCTGGGATTCAACACAAGTGGCAGTTTACCACGATCCTTGTTACATAAGCAAATTAAATGGGACAAGGGTTTCAGTGGCAACATTTTAAAGGCAGTGAGAAAGGAAGGGGCAGCTGAGTACTGGGGGCCAGCCCACGCCCCGCCTCACGCCTCGGCTCTCAAGGGCTGATTTGGGTCATGTGCACACAGCAGATGGGGAAACAAAGGCTCAGCTCCCTGGGGTTGGTTCCTGGGCCCAGCAGGGCCTCTCTGGTGCATCGGCCTATATTTATAAAAAGCAATTCCAAAGATACCCGTGGGAGGATGTCTATATAAGTAATAAATTTAGGAAATAACCTAAGGACTAACATCTTGGTGGGGGGAGGTGAGGCATTTCATTTTTGACTTTCATTCTAGTGTTTTTACCAGCCCACTACAGAGCTGCTGTCTGAGGGCCTCGCTACTGCTGTCTCGGAACCGGGAGACCCAGACATCACCAGGGAGGGTAGGCCGGAGGAGGAGGGCAGGCCACTGGCCACCCCTGGATGTTGGGACCTGGGACCCTCTGCTTCAGGGTGGAAGAGAAGCAACCTTTGCAGCCAGCCACTGCTTCCCAGCTCAGCACTCGTTTGCTGTGTGGCCTTTGGTTTCCTTGTCCATAAAATGGGCAAAGGCTCCGCCTGCAGGGCTGTGGTGAGGCTTGGCTGGCACAGGAGGAGGTGTCACAAGCTGAGCCATCACCATCTCTGATGAGGCCGGTGGCACAGGCTCCACCCTGGAGGCAGGGCTGCTCCTGGGGCCTGGGAAGCGAAATGACTGTGGTGGCCCCAGCGGGTTCTTGCCCAGTCAGGGAACTACCAGGCCTCCTCCTTCTGAAGGGCACCCAGACTCCCACCCCGCCATTCAGAGCACTTTTGTGGGGTGTCTTCAAAGGGGGCGTGGGGGACCGGGGGGGGGGCGGCTCCGTGACGCAGCGGCATGGCAGCCCAGCACGGTGCCCGCAGCCCCATCTGCTGATTAATCCATAATGGGATTCAAGTGCTTCTTGTCACTCCCGCTCACTGCTGCCCGCCCCCGAAAGGCGGCCCAGCGCCTCCTGTTAATGAAGTGCCGTCGGGTAACTGTGCCTGCCTGTCCGCTTGGCCCTTGTTCCCTCGGAGGAGCCAGGCTGCCAAGGCCAACTCCGCACAGATCTCCGGCGGAGGACTCCTGGGCTCTGACTGCGATGGGGCGTTGGGATACTTGAGGACTCTTCGCTGTCCTCAGGCCCCGGAGGGTGGCCCAGCGAGCCCTACCATGGGGCAGGGAGAAGCCCATGTTAGCTGGGTTTGTGGGTGCCCATAGGCTTTACTTTCCTGGTCTGCTCCCAATCTCTGTTCACCCCTGTGAACAGGTCTGGTGACCCCAAGAGCAGGACCTGCCTCCTTCAGAAGGGCCCAGGGGGCTTCAGAGCCCAGGCAGTGTCCTCGGTTTTACAAATGAATGGCCTTTGGGGAGGCCTCAGTGTGGCCTGGAGATATGGGGGTTTCCTCTAAGTCTGGGAGTCTGTCCGGGCAGCTCCTATGGGCCCAGGTGCCTGGGCCAGGCCGAGTGCTTTCAGGTGGGTGTTCGGGGCCAGCCTCACCTCGCTCCTCCCGTGACCAGGGCTTGGGCCCCTCTGAGAGGGCTGGGAATCGGTCTGGACCCCTTTCAGGAGGGCTGCATGGAGTGAGTGGCCCTGGCACATGGCAGGAAAGGATGAGTGTGCTGAGGCCCTGCCCACTGCAGGCACCACCAGCCCAACTGGGAGCTGGCTTTACCACTGGGTGCAAAATGGCATCACTTGGGTGATGCATTTCCAATAATTAAAATGAGAACCTCGGGTGCAAAGCGTTAATTGGGCAGTTTCAAAAGGCCATCCGTTGCCACAGCAGAGAGCAGCTGAGGCTCAGGGCAGTCACTTGGGGTGATCTGGGCGCCCTTCGAAGTCATAGCCCGGGCAGGGGTGAGGGAGATTAAGATGGATTTTCCTGCAAAGCGTTTCTGTTCAGAGCAGACAGGATGTTGAAAAGTTTGCTCCACTAACGCAGGCCCTGGTTCTTCATGTGCCCTGCCGGGCCAGTCTTTGCTGATTTGCACACACCTTGATGTTTGTGATTCCAAAAAGGCCCCAGAAATTGGCGAGGGGCGAGCCTTACATTCACCACTCCCTTCAGATCATGTCTCCCTCCTTTCCGGCACCCTCCCCACCCCCCCACCGTTGTTCTTCAGCCTAGCGGTGGAGGACGCAGCTCACGGGCCCATGGTGGTATTATGATCATTGCACTCTACCCGGCTGAGGCAGTTGCTCGCCGGTCATCAGAAGGCCGCTCACGGTGGCTCACGGCAGCTCTCGCTGGCTGCTGGCCACTCACACTTGCTACCGGCCGCAGCTCACGGTAGCTCACAGCAGCCCACGGCAGCTTCACGACAGCCCATGCCGTCCTCCGGCCACTCACAGCAGCCCAGCTCCAGGTGGAGCTGTTGTTCACAATCTTAACTGTAGAGGGCGCAGCACACTGGCCCATGTGGGAACCGAACCAGCAGCCCTGTTGTTCAGAGCTTGCACTCTTACCAACTGAGCTATCCGGTTGCCCCTCAGAAAAGCTTCTTGGACAGGATCAGCAGTGGGCCGTGCCAGAGGAGGCTGAGAGAGCTCCCTAGCAGGGGCATCTCCATCCATAAATGTAGATTCTAGTGGAAGTGCTGACCCGCCCACTCCCCCTCCAGCTGCCAGCCACTGGCCTTCCAACCAGATCAGGGCATTGGGCTGTGAAGGAACCTCTGGGGCTGCTCGAGACACTGGGATAGAACAATTACCCCGGATGGCAAGATCTCCCCGTACAGGCGACCACCCACCTCTGACTGGTTGAAGAGAAGAGGAATTGCTCTTTGGGGCTGATACTGGCTGCCTCGTTGGAACTGCCAAAGCCATGGCTCTCAGTGCTGCCCTTCAAATGCAGAACTTCCTCTGTCTGGCGTTATCGGGATGACTCATAGCCAGAGAAATGCGAGAGTGGGCACTTGCCCCGCTGGGAGGGCTCAGAGACGCTGGTGTGTGATTTGAGATGTCAGAGGGAGAAGGGGACTCTAACTGCAGAGAGGACAGCGATTGCCTTTGACTCCCGCCTTGTGAGGGCCTCAGACACCCCTCTCGTCACCAATATCTCCCCATCACATTCTGGCGTGAAGGCTGAACCCAGAGGCCATTTGCCAAACAGTCTGCAGCCCTGCACCCCATGAGGCAAGGGGGCTTCCAGACCATTCTCCAGTTCAAGCCAGAATTCCAAACAAGGCGCAGCTGACCCCTGGTCTGTTTCCCCGCCTTTCTTGCTGGGTCTGAGTCCCACATGGGCCCCTGGAGGCTGCTGTGAGAGGTCCCCCAGCTTAGGATCCTGGGGCTGGCACCAAATGAGCCAATTCCTTCAGCTCCTGTGCAGATAAATAAATTCTGCAGAGCCAGGCAGCCTGCTGGGCGCCTCCACGGGGCGTGCTGGGTAATGAAAATAAAGCACGGGGCCTTCCAACACCGTCAGGCTCGGGCATCTCTGCTGGGAGCTCCCTTGAGCTGAGGGGGAGCTGTGAAGTCACTTCCTTCCCCTCACAGGGGCTCTGGGCAGAGGCCCTGTCTCTCTCTCCACCAGGGTCACGCCTTCCCCGGTGGCTAAGAAGGTAGAGGCCCTGGCGCCTGCCCACAGGAGGGCGAGCTTTGACAGAGAGCCTGGGGATCCGGACCTGTCTTTGTCGCTTCCTTGCTCTGTGACCCCGGGAGGTCTATCCACCTCTCTGAGCCTGTTTCCTCCCTTACAGCGGCTGGGACCCATCTGCTGTGATTCTCGTGATTCACTCCAGCAGGTGCTGCTCCAGCTGCTGAGTCGTGTGGCATGTTTCTCCTATGCTGACCTCTTCAAGACAGGTCCCACCTGGCACCTACCCCTGAGGGCACAGGCCAGATGTAGTGCTTTGTGGTGCCTCCTCACTAGCCGTGGGTCAACATCAGTATCTTAAGGTGACCTCAGGAGGTCCTTGGGGACATCTGGATGCCCAGGAAAAGGGGGTGTGGTGGGCTGAATAATGGCCCCTAAAGAGGTCTGCGTCCTAATCTCTGGAGCCTCTGAATGTGCACCTTATATAACAAAAGGGATTCGGGGGTGTGTGATTAAATTAGGGTTCCCCAGGTGGGAGGTTATCCCTGGTGATCCAGGTGGGCCCCAAATGTAACCGCTAGTGTCCTTATAAGAGGGAAGCAGAGGGACATCTGACTACAGAGGAGGAGTTATGTCGACGGAGTGATATGAGATGGAGTCATGAGCCTAGGACTGTAGGTGGGAGGAGAAACCAGCCCTGATGTCACCTTGCCTTAGGTCCAGTGAAACTGATTTTGGACTTCTGGCTTCCAGGATGGTAAGGGAATAATGTTATGTTGAGTGAAACCATCAACTTTGTGGTCACCTGTTCCAGTAGCCCTGGGAAACCAAAAAGGGGCTTTGATCCTTCCAGCTCTGGCTGACGCTCAGGGAAAGGCAGGCCTGTCCCCATTAGGGCAGGTTTTCTCTGGCTCTGTGTTGTCACCTCAGGCCCCAGGCCACCCTGGCCCAGGTGTGCTCCCCTAGGGCTGCACTGAATCCTCAGACAAGGTCTGGAGTGGGTGGGGGAGCCTCAGTCACAGCTCGTAGGCTGGCCCCCTGGAACACACCACAGGGTGTGCAGCGGGGGCTCCGGTCGTGTCTGCAGGACGTTCCCTTCCAATTACCAAGCCCTGGGCTCAGATGCGTCTCCCTTCCTGTCTGCTGGGAAAACATCTGCTTTCACTTCCCCGCAGGGCTCAGGGAGTATGGAGAGGGGTGGCAGAGCCCATGCCGCCTATCATCCTCGGAGGGACTGGCCACGGCCGGCCACGGCAGCCATGCAAGCCCCATTCTGTGGGAGGCCCAGGGCCATTAGGTTGAGATCAGTGCCCGCTGTCCCTGAGGACGTCAGTGCCCGCAGGACTTGACTGATTGATTTCATTGACTTTCCACTGCCGATATGTCCCTCCCAGGCTGCAAGCTGCGTGGCCCCACACACTGCCAACAAATAAATCAACCCAGCGAATCAGAGCCTCCATGCTGGGGAGCCACTAACGTGGATGCTGCCTTGTCAGACATGCGTGAAAGCGCTCAAGACGAGGACTCAGAAGGCCTCCTGGCCCAGAATCCACCCAGGCAGGTGCCGTGGGCCTGCGCAGGCTGCCTCTGCCTCCAGGAGCCGACAAAGGCGGGGACAGGGAGCTGGGCTGGCATGAGCACAGGGGGCCAGCTGCCATCCTCCCACCAGCCCTGGGGACATGGGTACCCATCTCACCCTGGTCAGCCTGCATCTCTGTTGGTTTATGTTTGGAGACCCTCATGGTTCACAGAGCAGGACATGGCCTACGGAAATCCCAAACGCAGAATGGAAAAATAAGGACCCAGGAACAGTGTTCACGAGGGCAGGAGGACAAAGCTGAGATCTCCACATGGACAGGAGCCAAAGCACTTTGGCTTCCCTCTGACCAAAGCAAAAAGGGAAGGGTGGCCGGCTGCAGAGCCTCACTGCCAGAGGCGGCAGCAAACACCAACCGCTGGGCCTGCACTGGGTCAGCGGGCTTGCGGACAGCGAGGAGGGACAAACAACGCTTCCAAGATCTGCCCTGCATTGCCCGAGGGCCTTCTCTGAGCCAGCCACCATCCACAAGTGTGACGCCATTTTATACTTGGGGCAACTAGGGCTCCCAGTGGGGGTGCTGACTTGCCCTGGGGCCATCAGCGGGTGAGTGGGGAGCTGAGCTTTGAACTCAGGTCCTTTTGACCAATGTCTGGGCCCACACCAGGACCCTGTGTCTCTCTCACCCAAATTCCACGGACACACACACACACACACACACACACACACACACACACGGCTGAACAAAATCGGCCTGATTAGCAGGGAAACTCAGGCAGGGGAAGCTGCGGATGTGGGGCAACCAGACCACCCGCCTGTGTTCCTTCCATCACACAAGCAGACACTGGACTCCCTGTCTGCTTCTAGTCTGACTCTCTTCCAGATCTGAGCAACCCAAGAGAGAGACAGCACCCAGCCTGCCACGGGCCACCCCTCCAACAACCTCCTCCCGCCCAGCACTGCTAATCAGACAGACATTGGGCCAAGTGGGGTGAAGGACAGGATCCGGATGGTACCGATGCCACAAGCGGACGTCACGCATCCCTGAGTTGCCGCCCTGAGCTGGCGGGGTGAACACTGCCCCGGCTGGGCTGCCGCCGCACACGCCCTGCCAGACCGCCGAGCTCACCTCGTACAGCAGACAGCCCAGAGACCAGATGTCGGACTTGAAGTTGTAGCCGGTCTCGTGGATCCTCTCCGGTGACATGTAGTACGGCGTCCCCACTGCAACACAGCAAGCGGGTGAGTGCTTATGACGCATGCGCATGGGGGAGGGGGGCAAGGGGGCTGGAGAGAGACCCCCCCCCCTCAGTTTCACTGGGACCCTGGGCGGCCCCTCTCCCTCTCCTCCTGTCCCCTCTTCTTTCAAATGGGAGGGCTGGGCCAGATTGGGGGTTCCCACGCTGGTAGGGCACTAAAAGCCCCTGGCGACAGGGACCCACAACGCCCTGAGAGTCCGTCTCACGGCTGGGCAGCTGGGGATTGGTGTTTCTGCCAACAGGCCAGGGGAGTGGGACGCAGCAGCCAGGCTCTGGGCAGCAACCGACCAAATGTCCTTTTAGGTGGTTGCTTGAACCCCGGGAGAGCCCAGACAAGGCTCTCCACGGTGAGAAAGCCACCGCTCTTAAGGTTGAGCAAGCATGTCACGTGTGCTAGCTCGTCTGTGTTCCTAACAGTCCCGTGAGGAGGCACCCCCATTTTACAGATGGGGAAACAGGCTCAGAAAAGCAGCAGGGCTGGGCTCAAACCCAGATCTTCAGGCTCCAGAAATGGAGCTCTTAGCCACCACCTTGAGCTGGCACCATCGGGCACGTCCAGATTTGGGGTTGCCCGAGATTTCTTAAACAGGGCAGAAAAGACACTAACTATAAAAGAAAAGATCAATACACTGGACTTGATTAAAATTAGGAACTTCAGTTTAACCAAAAAAACTGTTTAGAGAGGTCAAAGGCACAGCCTGAGAGGAAACAGTGTCAACACATATGTCCAACAATGGCCTCATAGACAGAATCCATTTGAAAACTTCTGAAAATCAATAAGTAAAAGACAACCCCCTCCCTCAAGTTAGCAAACAACTTGAAGGGGGACTTCACAAAGAGGATATCCAAATGGCCGATAAGCACAGGAAACTACATTATTTTTCTCATTACTCATCAGAGCCACGCAAATTAAAGACAGAGTGAAGTACCACCACCCACCGCCTGAACAGTTCAAGTTAAAAAGACTGAGATGGACCAAGGTTGGTGAGGCATGGAGCACTGGAACCCTTACAATCCACTCCTAGGTATACGCCCAACAGAAATAAGTGCTTCTGTCCATCCAGAGACGTGATTGACAATGTGCAAAGTGGCTTTATTTGTAATAGTCAGAAACTGGAAACAAATGTCAATCAGCAACAGAATGGATAGACTGATAATGTGGTCTGTTTACACAATGGAATACTAAACCGCCATGAACAAGAACAAACCTCAGGTACATGCCACAAAATAGATCAATCTCCCAGACATGATGGTGAGTGAAAGCAGCCAGGCACAAAAGAGCACATGCTATGATTCCATTTTTATCAAGATCAGGAAAAACTGCTCGATGGGGCAGTTATCAGGAAAGGGCATGAGGGGAGCTTTACTGTTTATATATCACATCTCCATTAAAAAGCAGAGGGGGCAGACTTTTAAAGATCTGGAAATATGCAAAGATGGGAAGATTTCCTGATAGGAGGTGAGCTCCCCATCACCAGAGGCATGCAAGCTACAGCAGAAGGGCTGATTTGGAAGGGCTGAGGACGGGCCCAGGAATCTGGATTTGTAACTAGAGATTTGTAACCTGAGATTCTGATCTCAGTGCATTTGGAGGATGATTGTTCTGGAGGCTTTAGGACCTGATTTTAAACGTTGCTATACAGAGGACATTTTCAGTGGCCTAGAGATACCATGTGACGGTGACAGTGATTGCTGCTGTCCTGGCCAAAGTCTGTGTGGGGAGCTGGAATCCAGCATGGCAGAGGCAGAGGCTGAGCCTGAGATGTGGCTTAGGCCCCTAGAAGGAGGGATGTCCAACACCACAGAAACACACGAGGCCTTGCATTGAGCGGACCTGGAAAGCTTCAGGATTTCATGGACCAAAGATGTTTTAGAGCAACTAAATTTTGCCAAGTAAGGGTGTTAAAAAAATACAAAACCCCAACTACCATTTAGTGTCGCTATTATTTTAAAAAGAGAAGACAGTTTGACCCTCGAATAAGAGAAAACTCAATCTCAACATCCAGGACAATCCTTTACATCAAAAAACGTTTACTAAAGCTGTTAGAAAACTTGATCTTGTTTTTCTCATGGCATTGGAGGTACATGCGACATTCTGTCACACCCAACTTGTCGCGGCCAGGAAGTGTGGGGGGAATTCCTGCTCTGGGCTCCCAGGAGGCAGGACCTTGTTTACCAAAGAGCCCAGGGCAGGTCACAGCTGGTGCCTAATAAACATCTACTCATTGAGTCAATGAATCCATCCACAAGTTATCAAATAGCAAACAGTCGGTGTTCACACTCTTTCTTGCATTGTGAACTGATGGCTGCCAGAGAAGGGCTGCCTGATTATTGCCTTATCAGGACACCAAGCACCCTTTGATGGCAATAATCCCTGAACAAGGACAGCAGCCATCACTTAAATACATGGTTTGAGAACTGTGTCATCGTACATGCATACTTCATGGCTGAAATCAGGGGCTAATTGCTTATGCAGCAGAAAGAGCTGTCAGTCAGCGTATGAATCCATGTGGGATTCTATAAGGAGACTGTGACTCCCTGTAGCAGCCCCTTGTATATTTTGGTCACGAGGGAGCAAAATGACAATGAACGGGCAAGTGTGAAATGGATGACTTGTCATATCCAAACCACAGGGTGACATCCAAACAGTTCTCAGTTAACAGCGGGAACCTCAGACCAAACTGGAAGTGATTCCAGCGCCCAGGGTGCTGTGGATGGACGTGCCTAGGAGGCGATAACCGTCCCCCACAATCAACAGCCACTTGGGGCTGACAGGGGACACACAGAGATAGCAGGAGCAATGGGGGGAGATCAGAGGCCCGGTCCTCAATGAGGGACAGCAGTGTCCACTGTCTGGCTGCATGGCACCCCTAAGATCCCCCGTCAAGCCCCCTGCTGACTGGGAGTGTGGATTGGTCCTGACCCCTCTTGCCACCCTCAGTTTAGGTCCGCCTGGGCCTCTATAGGAGGAACTCTGGGGAGATGACCTGCAGAGTGGCCAGGCTTTGGCCTGGGGCTGCCTTGGCCAAGCCCACCTGAAAGTGAAGGCTTTGCATGCTTGGCCCCTGCTTGAGTACTCTCCCCGCGCCCCCCATTACCCCCCTCACCTCCCCTCAGCCCCAACCCCAGTCTGTTCTCCAGTTCACCTCTGTGCCTTTGCCTCCTGGTGAGCTCCTTTAAGGTCCAGTTAAAGTACCCCTCCCCCTAGCCAGTGAGTGCTTCGCTGCTCAGCGGCGCCTGGGCATTTGGTTTGTCCCTCTGTTCTGTCACCGTTTTCTCCCTCTGTTGGGGCTCTAGATCCTCCGCCCCGTAAGTCTTGGGGCACATGGGAAAGAAAGGAAAGAGAGTGCACCTTTCCCTCTGTCTACCTCTTCACTGTTCTTCCTGCTTTTCCCTGTTTCCCTTGGTGTAAGGGAGAAAAGGCAAACACCCAAATATAATTTGGACTTTCTTCTAAGATCCAGTGCTGCAATGCCATCAATCCAGACATCCATCAGTTTGTCCATCCATCCATCCATCCATCCATCCATAATCTACTCATTTATCCATCCACTCAGCAGCCTATCTGTCCATCCATCCATCTATAATTGTCCATTCATCATCAGTCCATCCATCCATCCATCCATCCATCCATCCATCCATCCATCCATCCGTATCCAATGTTAACGGAGCCCTGATGTTGTGCTGGGCCGTCCCAGGAGTGGGCCCCTCAGGAGGTAGTGAGTTGCATGTTCGAGGAAGTGTCTAGATTCTAGACTCTAGAAGGAGCCAGTCGATCAAGGGGAGGCTGCACTGATCAGTGGCTGCAGCTGAATGCCCTGGAGGGGCTCATTAAAAACCTCGCTCCCCACCCCCCCCCCCAGACCTGTGGGACCAGAACCTCCAGGGCCGGCACCTGGACACCTGCATCTCTTACAAGCTCCCGGGAAGTCCTGGTGTGTGGTACAGTCTGAGAGGAGCTGCGCAGGGCCTCACCCACCCGTCAGTCTTTCAGATGCTCAGACACATCAGTGGAACAAATGGATTTGTGAAGCGTTAACTGAGGGACATTTGCGCCATCCTTGCCTGGCATTAGGTCCTGGCATCCCAGCCTCTGGCCGATTCTCCAGTCCCCTGACCCGAGGAAGGGGCTCCTCCACTTTGGTCTGTAAGTCTCAAAGTTGGGGTGCTCTGCCTCATTAAAGGGGTCCTCAACTTGTTTCAGGGGTGTACAAAGCTTCAGGGGGTGAACACAGCACCTCCTTCCTGTTTTGCCAGCATCCCCTGGGAATAAGTTGGTAACGCCCGATTTTTATACGACAACAGATACTCAAACATTATGAAGCATAATGCACAACTTGCGTGAGTTTTAAAGATAAGATGAGAGACTTCAAAGAAGTTCCAAGCTTGCAGCGGGCCCTGGAGGATGTGTCCCCAAGCCTCAGGGGAGTAGTAGTGGCTCTGGGGAGGGGTGGGAGAAGCTGGCAGGAGGAGCTGCCTGGAAGGCCATGCCCGGCCCGGTCCCTTGTCCTGGCCCAGGGGGTCCTCTGTGGGCACTTCCCGCTGGCAAAGCAGCAGCACGGTATGACAGAGATGCTCAGACGCAGAGACAGCACAGCCTGGGTCTCAAATCCCCTTCCAGCAATCTCCCCATCAGATCTGCTAGCTTGAGGCTCCCGCCTCTACTCCCTCTCCTCTCAGTGGGGGACCAAGCTCTGCATATGAAAGACGAGCCTAAGAAAGCCTGACCTTCCCGCGTCTTTACCTAGAACGCCCAGATTTCAAACCGGGCCGATATCAGAGGAGAACGCGGGACCTCAAAGCGGAGGCTGATTAAAGGGGCCCCCGCTTCCCGGAGATGCGCCACTCCTGTCAAAACAAACTTTGCTGGGGTTTGAAATGCTCGTGGTGTTTGAAACATGTTCATTAGCTGTGAAAAAGGCAAAGATTTCACATGAAGGAGAGGCTGGCGTCTGTGGTGTTGAA